TTTGCTACCGCTGCGCGTGTCCTCGTTCCATGGAGAAGCTCTTGATGGATATGGCTGTTGAGATTGCTAGCCACGTCACTGTAGCTGTAGCGGATGCCATGGAAGATCTTGGCAGCCTATGGGCAACCTATTCGCAGATGCGTAGGGTGTGCGGCGATGCCGTAGTGGGACAAAGCATACCACTGCGGTGGGTGCTGCTGTGTGGAATCCAACATAGGATCTGGAACCGGTTCTATGACCATGAGTACCGCGCCAAGCTCATCGCTAGGCTTGCTAGCGTCAGCAACCCAGAGGCCTGCTTCTACGCTGGGATGCACGCCGTCTTCATGGAAGACCGCAACGCGCTCATGCCGCGGCTCGACATGCTTGAGCGCTTCGCCATGGCAGGCCATGATGTTGCTGCATTTGTTCTATCCCTTGTGCTCCATAGGTCCAATAGCGGTGCCGGCTATGACAACATTGCCGAACGATTGTTGAGGAAGGTCAAAGGTAATGAAGCGGGCCCAGAGGCGAATGTGACGTGGAAGAATGAGAAATGTACACGGCGCCTCCAACAAGCCATGTTCGTGTTGTAGGACTTGGTTGGGTAGCCAGCGCTGGGTGAGTCTAGTCCTCTGCCTCCTCTGGTCATGCCGGTGCGTCGCCAAGATGGACATCAGTGCGGAGGCAGAGGCTGCGATGACCACGCAGGATGGGAAGGTCGCCAAGATGGACATCAGTGTGGAGGCGGAGGCTGCGATGACCACGCAGGATGGGAAGGTCGCCAAGATGGACATCAGTGTGGAGGCGGAGGCTGTGATGACCACGCAGGATGGGAAGGTTGGGAGGAGTGGACTATGTTCTGCAGGGAGGAGTGTAGGATCCACAATGAGTGTGATAGGTTCTTTACAAGTATGTGGTACATTCTGGGCAGATCAATATTGATATGTATGTATCTGGATGATGGGGATTTATATGATAAACTCTTCATTCTCCTCAATACAATGATACACAAGTATGATTCCTTTCTAAACTCGTTACAGTTACCGTCTCGTATGATGCGGTTCAGACTCCCTTTCACAAGTTATTCAAGTCATCTCCACTAATAAACACGAACGGGGAAGGCAACAATCAAGGTCCGTGACATCCACGGCCACACACGTGAGTCGCGGGCAATGGAGCAGAGAAGACGACACAGACCATTTGATTCCCTACACTTTGCGGTCTAATACTAACACTGAATCACCGTATGAAACGGCGACGGGAGCTGATGACAATTTGCAAACACAGCAAACCAATTTGCAAATAAACCAAGGCAAATACTTCCACCTAGCACCATCTCAGTGAGGTGCTTTATCTCATGTCTGTGTAGCCAAGGCAAATACTACGACACTTCAAAAAATGGAGTAACAAGCATCACAACCATTCAGTTATTAATTGTTTTTAAGGCAAAAACTATATATAAACATCACAGTAACAATCATCACAGCAATTTCATTGATAACTTTAGTTACATTCCACAATTATACAATAACAAAGACCTATCGAAGACTACTAGGTGTACAATAACAAAGACCAGTCGAGTACAAGTACATCCCATAGTCGAGTCTGGAGACAGGCAAGGACGAAGCAGCACCTCGCAAAACTTCCACCAGCATCTCAATGAAGGAAACCATTTTTTGTCCACCTTTCTTGTGTAGTAACTTCCTTATCGATTAGGATATGGCGGTGCTCACGTTTTGATTCCTCCAACTAAACAGCAGGCTTGGAAATGGGACATAGAGCTATTCAAGAAAGAGAAAGAAAAAGTGAGGTGAAACTTCCACTAGCATCTGCACCTCTCATGGTCGAGAGAGAGAGAGAGCAAGAAGAAACTTGTGAGAGAGATAAATGGGCCATGTATTAATAGTGAAGAGCTAACTACTATATGGGTGGGTTAAGAGAAGACTGCAAAGATCCTTACAACCAGTCTCTAAGCGAACTCCCTTACTCACAAAACTTCCACTAGCACCTAGATCAAGCAGCCCCCGCTGCGCCTAGATGCCGGTAATACCCAATCTTGAAGGCCATCTCTGAACGTCGCTGCTGCCGCCGGAAGAGTTCGAGAAGGAGCGCCATGGCGATGAAGAAAATATAGATGGTTGGCTTAAGAGCTTTTTCTGTATCTATCTGTATCTAAGGAGGAAGGGGTGTGTGGATTGCCAAGAACGCATCCAGCCCCGGCTTAAATAGGCCAACCTTGAAGAAGGAGAAGCGGAGAGGAGCAGTTAATGGTGACGCAACTATGTTGTGGGTAGTTGGGAAATGGGGAAATAACTCACGCTGAATTTACTACCGCCGATGCACCAAACGGTCGTGTAGGGCCGACGGCCATAACACCTATCCCAGTCGGCTCGGCTTTTCATGCAACGGAGAAAATACCACTGCCGCATCTATTGTTAACCCGTGGGTGGTAAAAGTTTGAACTGTCAGTTTCCTTCATTAGGAGGCCTCGATATCAGTCCAACCGGCGGTGGAAGTATAACACCGTTGCTTCTATCGTTATGACAGTGAAAATGGCAATAGTGAAAGATCAATCTGTAGTAGTGGAATGAGAAATCATAACATCATGAACGTGCCTTATAAAACACTCATAAATTGCATAGCGTAAAGATAGAAATGAAATGGTGATATCCCCTAAATACCACAAAATACATAAGAATATTGGTGATATTAGCGATTAAATTATCCCCTAAATGCCAAATGCAATACTGGATTTATGGTACAATTAAAATCCCACATATTTGTAGAACATATAATTGGAGAATGTACTAAGAAAAGAGTTACATGTATTCATACTATGGAATGAGACTTGAGATAATATCTAGAAGATATCTAATATTGTAACTCATTTACCATCATAATCTTCTAAATGGATTTAGATACCTAGAAGGATAGTTTTTTTTTGTATTGCACAACTAATAAGTGGCCATTTATGCACAGGGCCGTCCAGGAGAAATCCGAGGCCTTGTACGAAACTAAAAAACGAGGCCTACTAGCCTAGAAAAAAATATGACTAAAATAAGATGTACGATATAATGTATTACATTGCAATAAGATATGTCAAGAATGATACCTAATTGCATAATCTTTACTTGAATAGCATCATTCGTTTAGTGTTCTTTGAAATGAAATCTTCAATGATACGCTCGTAATCAATCTTCTCCAACATTTTGCTCTCAAGTGCTATTATAGCCAAATCGTTAAGAATCCAGCATCTGGAGAAGGATTCAAGTTATCAATATTATTGTCCATCTGAGTATTTGTGTTGTTAGGAAGAGCTTCCTCAGCTTCAACATTATTTTTTGGAGGATTTATAGGATCACATTGTCAATATTACTGTCAATTGCCTGCCCCTGGTCAGGTGTCGGATTATTAGATGACACTTGTGATTGTTTTGTAATAAACCTATCCATGGCTTCTTACTGAGATTGGATTAAATCCTCTATTCTTTGTTTTTTCTTACGCTTTTCCCAACCCGACTCAAGTTTTTCTAGACGGATTTGCAGAAGACATGGCTTCAATCTTTGAAAACTATTCTAGTAGGTGTCTAGATGAAAAGATCAAAAGAACAAAATTTAGAGATCGACTCGCTACTCGCTATAGTTCGCTGAATCGCTGTGATTGTGAATGAATTGAAAAAAATATGAATGATTAGTATGAGCTTCAGGGCCTCGGCGCCTCGCCTGGGTGCCTCGCCGTTGCCGTCAGTCAAGACGTCGAGACGAAGAAGTTAGGGAATTGGGATCACAGAGTCAGGGAGACAAAACGACCTCCGCGCGGCCGGCTGGAAAATCATTTTCTATTGGGCTAATTGGCCATGCTATTGGGCCAACGAAACAATCAAACAAATTGCTGCTGTGCTTAGCTATATACTACATACTTGGAGACCTATCAGAATTGGAGGCCCCCCGCCGTCTCTCAGGCTGCACGCCCCCAGGGACGGCCCTGTTTATGCATAAAGTATATTGCTCCTATTTACTTAATTCACAGTTCAAAGAATAATTGCAAGGCAAGTCTTTGAAAGACATAGTATTGTGATTCTGTATACCATTACTTATGCATACATTTATGAAAATTGTGACTTAAATTATCTGAAACAAAGTTCAAAGAATTACTTTACGAGGGGGAGCATATTTGATTGAACTTACCTTAAAGGTAAATGACTAAAATCGTGTTTTCTAAAACACTAAAGTTTATGCATAAGACATGAAGATTGACAACTATTCATAAAAATAGAAGATTCTAAAGAATACACCATTACTTATGCATACATTTATGAAAATTGTGACTTAAATTATCTTAAACGAAGTTCAAAGAATGACTTTAGGAGGGGAGCATATTTGATTGAACTTACCTTGAAGGTAAACGACTAAAATCGTGTTTTCTAAAACATTGAAGTTTATGCATAAAACATTAAGATTGACATCTATTCATAAAAATATAAGATTCTAAAGAATACATGAACAAGAAGATTAAGTGCTGTACACTTTTTCCCTATGTGACTTTTGACTTGAAGGTTACTCACAAGGTTTTTAATGGCGCAACATGTGCAATACAACTTGCAAATGTAATATACTCTTTTCTCCAAAACTATTTTTCACTAGGTTTTCAGATGCAATTTTCACGAGACATATGAATGTCACGGTGATCGCCCAAAAGGGAGTGTTGTAAAACACTCGAACTCTAACCTGAAAGGAAATGGGGAGAAGGAATTCTAATCCTAGTTCATTTTCTATTGAGCCCTCGCCAAACTGAATAGTTCCACTGCTTAGTGTCTCTACGTTCCTCTGCTTTTATTTACTGTGTTGATCATGAAGGATGAAGAGGTAGATACCATAACCGGTGGGTGGTGACTTGTTTTATAGCAGTAGAGATCCTTTGTGTAGTAGTGAGAAAAAACAATGGACGAAGCAATACTATCAGAGAAAATAAAATATTTACTACACTTTCCATACATGATATAACTAACTGTAAAATCATCAGTGACCACCCTTGGTTTCCCCACATCCCATGATCTCCGGCGGGAGATTGGCGACACGGTGAATGCCTTCCTCGAAGACGACTCCCATTCCCATGAAGAAATGGGCCTCGATGTGGCAATGGAACGCCCACACTCCAGGGTTGTCGGCCTTGAACCGCAGCGCCGTCCAGCCATATGGATGCACCGCCACCGTGTTCTTCAATATCGGGTCCTTAAGGTTGTATGACGCCGGGTGCACTGTCGGGTCGAAGCGGCCGATGCCGTAGCCCAGCACCCAGAAGTCGTGCCCATGCAGGTGCCACGGGTGCGTCTCGCTCTTGTTCGGCGCCAGCATGTTGGCGTTCTGCAGCACCACGTCGACGACGGAGCCGAACTGCAGCCGGTACAGGCCGTCGCTGACCGTCGCGTTCGGGTTCGGCGGCGGAGAGTACACGTCGTACCCCTGGTGCGCGTACGTCTCCGGCGGCGGCCGCTGGTCGAAGGTGCCCAGGAGCCCCCGCTTCATGGCCACCAGGTACGGCGTGTGCGGCAGCGTGAAGGACACGCCGTTGAGAGCCCACTTGATGCGCCCGTCGATCTTGTTCTGCGTGTTGAGCAGGAGGATGGTGCGGTCAGCGCGAGGCGGCGGAGGCTCGACGTGCGCCGGGTGCGCCACCGTCGCCACGCTCTGCCGGAACCGGTACATGGTGTCGTTCCAGGCCGGGCCCGTGGGCGGGGTTGTCGCCGGCGATGCGCGGTCACCGTTGTAGCTCAGAATGGCGGTGCCGGTAGGTGTGGCAGGCTCGCGGCTGACGACGTTGGAGGCGAGCCAGTAGTTGCGGTTGGGGTCTTGGTCGGCCTTGATGAGGACGGAGTAGGTCTCGCCGGAGTAGATGTTGAGGTTCTTCACCACGAACGGCTTCACGTAGTGGCCGTCGGCCTCCACCACCGTCATTTCGTGGCCCTGAAAGCATGATGCATGCCGTGGATCAATTAGACGACAAGTTATTCGATCAGGTAAAAATGTTGGTATAGACGATGCGTGCGGTCAACAAACTATTTGTGTTGGGTTTAGGCCCATATTTTATTTAATAATCAAGTAATTCTATGCCCATATTAAATGCTGTGGTATAATATAGTTTTAGTCCCGTATGGGATTTTGACTGATCGTTGACTCAATTTAAATAGACTACACACTTATGCACCTATAGAGAAGTTGAAAGAGGCCAAAGGCGTGCCACACGCGCGTGCGCCGCCGCCGTCGACGAACCATGGCGTGGCGTGGCGAGCGATGCGTGCGTGACGTACCCGAGCGCGGGTGTGGTTTGGTTTTGCCACTTGGGCTGGCTAAGGAAGAGGAAGGGGTACAGCGCTAATGTAGAGAGTCTTCGTCTCCTTGATCTCTCTGGCATTACCTTCCCTTCCCCTGTTACCTCACGCGCCATACCACTCCTTCCTCCGGTCGAGTTGCATTCAAGTACTCCCCGTCCCATTCTTCGAGTTGCATTCGAGTACTCCACGTCCCATTCTCTGCGAGCATGGAGCTTTGGGAGAGCAGGCCTCCGGAACCGGCGTTCACATCGAGACACCTACTCCGGTGTGTGCGGACGATCAGATTTTTGGGGAGCGTCTCCGCGACTGCTCGCCATCTTTATCTTCATCGGAACGTCTTCATCTCCTTCCTGGTGGTGCCCTTCTTCCTCGGATTGGCTTCGTCTACTTTCCGGTGGACGTTCGAGGGACGGCACTGCGTACATCTTCCTGCACCGACTGTGGTCGGTGACTTCAAGCAACTCACAATGAGTGGGTTTGGAGCCACCGGTGTCTTGAGCATGGGTCCCTCCGCAGGGTATATCTCTATTCTTAAATTGGTTAAGTTCAATCTCTTTTCGGCCATGATCAGTATGATGTTCATCAACATATTTGCTGCTAATCTGAGTAGTAGTAAAATCACACACGTGCACATATTTGTCATCACAAATTTGTTATTATTTTTCTAGATTAATTTTAACATTAAATTGCCTAAATTCCTAACAATTTGAAGGTCAAAATTTACATTTCAATTGCTCCATTCAATAGTGAAAGGTTTGTTTATTTGAGCAGATATTTAAACACTAAAGTTAGATTTGGGCCATTTTATGATCTATATTGTCGTAAAACAAATTTACTGTGTAAACCTTTTAAAATGTAAATCTAGCGACGGTATAGTTTTTGAACATTGAAAATTATAGCTTCCATTTCAAAAAAGTTACTAATTTCATTTATCGTTGGTGAAATTATACAAAAAAATATGAATACTACTAAATGTCTACACATATCCTAAGATACAGTTTGTGGGCTTTTGTTGCTTCAGAATTTGCAGTTTTAACTTTTCTGATTCTGAAGAGTAAGGACCATGGAAACTTCATTGCTGTGACGTGCTGGAATATAGGGAAAACATGAGCTTCAATTGGTAATTTCCACGCACAGCTAAGAGCAACTCCGGGAAACAACAACCATTGAGTCAACAACCACCTTGAACCTTCTTTGTCCAACTCCTCCATTTCGGTACAGTTTCGACCTTTCGTGGTGGTTGATGCTTGCATAAATTTAACAGTATTTGTACTACCAAATGAACGCGAGGGTTATAGCGAGGAAAAGACCAGACTACAGAAAGGAATCTAAAAGAACGCTGTGCTTACCATCTCTTCACTCTTTTGTTAGTTGTTACACTAACCGATAGATGGCGACCTCGAGTGTGCTCCATTGGCCGGGTAGGTTACAAAGGTGAAAGATAAGTATATAGATACTCCCTCCGTTTCAAAGTATAAGACGTTTAGATATACATTTGTCTAGATACATAATAAAAACGATATGTTTAAAAAAGCTAAAACATCTTATAATTTGGGACGTAAAGAAGACTATTATGTTGCCTAATTCTAATGTTCTCTTTTTGTTTTTTTAGATTTGACCACTGAACAAAGAATTAGATTCATGTTACTGCTCTCTCTGTTCCAAATTATAAGTCGTTTTGATTTTTTTGGTTCATCCATTTTGCTATGTATCTAGATATATTATTTATCTAAATGCATATCTTTTTTTTCTTTTTTTTTTGTGTACCAAAAAAGTCAAAGCGACTTATAATTTGGAACGGAGGGAGTAGATCTATAGCCAAATAGTTATTTTAAAAGTATAAATATTTCAATGTAAATATCATATGTTCTATGCAATGCGAAACAAAATTTCATCTCGTAGACCATGTAACTATGATGACCCTAGCTAATATTTATTTCTGAGATAGGAGAGATTAGCTGATAATTGCTATTTTCATTTATAATACAAAAATATTAAACTACCGGCTCATATATATCTCGTGATCTAGTTCCTCACCAGGGCCGGTAGCTAGGAAGGACCTCTCTACGTCGACCTTTTGGTGAATCCCACACTACCGGTTCATATTACGCAATTGTTGAATCTAATAGTTTGGTACTCATATATGCAAACATAATGTCTTTAATATTTAGTATATATGTTACTATTTAGGATTAAAGTTGTTGCACTTATGACTTGACGGTATGTTGTATGGTATACAGTTTTGGTGTTATTTGTATGAAGCACCACTTGTTATAAGATCAATGCGTGATGTTTCATCAGTATCGGTTACTAGTTTTTATAGCTTCCTCTGGGCAATGCCGCGAAAATGCTGTTCTGAAATCTGAACAAACAAATCAACAGGAAAAAAACGAAAACCAGGCGCTAAATGAGAGCACATGTGCGCGCGTACGGCGTACCTCGATCTCAAAGTTGAGAGCGGACAAGGACGTGACGCTGGCGATGCGAAACCTGTAGGTCTTCCCTGGCACGACGGCGAACACCGGCGTGGCGCACTCCGGGCTGGTGGCGTTGCAGGTGCCCGGCACCGCCGCCGAGCAATTGAACTTCCCGCGGCCGTTGATGAGGAGCGAGTGCGGCTCCCCGACCCAGACCATTGGCACGGACGCGAGCCCGGCGGCCAGCTCGTAGGTGCTGTTGTGCCACCAGTCGTTGAGCAGCACGTCGTGCTCGTCGTCGTAGGCGAACGGCTCCGTGCCGCCGGGCGCCGCCGCGACGACGATGACGCCGTACAGCCCCGCGGAGCGCTGCATCCCGTAGTGGGCGTGGTACATGTAGGTCCCCGGGCGGTCGACGACGAAGGCGTAGGTGAAGGTGTCCCCGGGGAGGATCGGGCACTGCGTGACGCCCTCGGTGCCGTCCGCCCACGGCGTGCCGATCTGCCGGATGCCGTGCCAGTGGATCGCCAGGTTCTCTGTCAGCAGCGAGTTCCTCACCTTCACCTCGACGGTGTCGCCCTGCGTGGCGTGGATCGCCGGGCCGGGCGTCTGCCCGTTGATGGTGGCGGAGAGCTTCCGCACGCAGTCCGGGGACTTGAACTGGTAGCTGACCTCCCACTCGTGGCGACGCGTTGCGGCACGCGTCAGCAGCGTGGACAGCGAGAGGCAGAGGAAGAGGCTGCAGAGGCGGCGCGGCGCCCCTGGCAGGAATGCCATTATGGGGGACGCCGGGGCGGCAAAGTGACCTTCACCTCAGCTCCACCGATGTTTTTTTTTTCTTGTTTTTTGACACAAAATTGCTTGTGGAGCGCCTGGCCGGATTGCGAACCAGCAGGCTGGTAGAGCTGGTCTGTCCGGTGTGCCTGGCAGTGGCAGAGCTATAGCTGTGCGTGGTGGTGGTTGTGTGATGACCTTGCTAGTATTTATAGAGAAACTTTGCTTGAACTGTTGCATTTTCAAGGTAAAAGTTTGGGTACCATGGATCCGAACCAAACATACATAGTTGATTCAAAATTTCGAATATGCAAGTAAAATGCTGAACTGATGTTTTGGTTGTGCAAGTGTATATTGGTAGCAATACGTACGCTAGCGTACAAAGCTGGAACACTGTGTGCAAATGGATACGGCTCCAATTTGTCACCACACTAATGATTTTTAGCTTCAACTTTATGGACCATTTCATATGTGAACGCCTGCATGGTCTGCTCTATATTTGTCAATGCAAAACTTTCCAGCGGGATGGATGGGGAATTTCCATCCATGTACACTGCTCTGATCTCGGGTCAAACCAGAACAAGATAATGCGTGTACACAGAAAGTAAATGGTGGTTGTAACCATGTGTGATGCAAGAAGGTAGGAGTAGTAGAGTCCACGTCTTAAAATGATGCTAGGTGCACGCTTCGGCAAGGTGGTTAAATTAAGAACTGGAGTATGCCAGTTATTTTGTGTATCCAATCTTATCTTACTATTTCAGTATTAATTGGACTCATTCTAAGCCTCCATGATAATTTTCATGAGACATCCAAAAAAATCTCACAAAAAATACAAAAACATGTAGCCACTGGTTCAATAAAATGTTTTATGGTTTTTAGCAATGTTTTTCTAAACGCTAAACGGTAAACAGCCGGTCACCTGCCGTTTAGCCATTATTCAGGCTAAACAGTCCATTAAACAAGCTAAACGGCCATTTAAACGGGCTAAACGGATGATTAAACGGAAACAGCATACCACTATGTAGCATTTACACGGTGTTTAAACGGGCTACACGACCGTTTAGGTGAACAGTCATATGGCTCACCCAACATTAATACAGTTTCTCACAGGAGGAGCCTGCTTTGCCTTGCAACTCCCTGTCATAATCTGAATATATGCCGGGGGGGGGGGGGGTTCGTAATTAATTAAACTATTAAACTAATTGGGTTTTCGCATGGAGAAGGGGAGAAAAGCAATCTCGCGTATATGCATGGTTGCATGCACGAGAACTGACGCATGGGCACCTCTGTCATCCTTGTGACGCTGTGATTCGTGATGCCAGGGAAGAGACGACCTCACCGGTCTTCCTTCTCACAAAGCCCTGCCGCACAAATTCATATTATACGGGCAAACTTTGGCAGAGAAATTGGCCTTACTGACTATGACTATGCGCACAGCGATATTGCCAGGAACTTGTCCTCCATCCAATAGGAGAGAAGAGACGAACGTTCATAGGTCAATGTCAACCTCGCAGGTGTGTACGTAGAGGTTAGTTAGATTAGGTAACAACAACACGCTCACACGTACCAACCGTAGCTCCCTGGCTACTTGCGCACGCAAAAGTCGACAGCTACGTACGTCGGCTAAACTGTATACGCGTACGTATGCTGTTGACTCGCACGTACTATACGTATGGCATTTTTTGGTACAGTACCCGTGTGTTCGCGGAGCGCGCGCACTTCTTCAATTGCAGCCCGAGGCCGATCGAGGCGCCTGAGCCGAGCAGGGCCCAACAACCCTGAGCTGCCGCGCGTCGGGCTTGTCCTTCCTCTCTGTCTCTCCCTCGCCCAGTCGCCACGGCCTTCGCTCGAGCTGACGGCAGAGGATACGCCCTCCGTCCGATCCTCGGCGACTTCAGACAGCAATGCCCAGCGTCTTACCAAACGCTTCTGATCTCTCGGGGGGTGTCACAGACTGTCAGTAGGCAGGGTACGTACGTAGGTCAACCGTCAACAACACAGCTGAGGCTTCACGATTCAGGTTAAGTTGTACTGGCTGAAACCTAAGTCCTTAGTGACATAAATTTCACCTGCTACTAGACCGTGGGATCAATAATTGGCAACTGCTAAATACTGTTGCGAATTGCACGCATGGCCCAACGTTTGGTGGTTGGACGACGTACGACTTCGGCCAGTAGACCAGGACCTATGAGGAACTTGCAAGATTATGGTTTGGTCATACTATATAATTGAGCACAGTTCGATCCGTACTTTGTTGAATACTACATGCTAATCCTTATATACCCTGATGGCATTGAACAAAGGGGAGAGAGATGCCACCTGTATGGGTCGATCAAAAGGCTAAGGGTGTGTTTGGACGACTGGCCGGCCTCCTTGAAGCATGGCTACGCATCCTATCGTGGGCAGCCCACACCAGCCTCCATGAAGCCTATCAGAGCTTGTTTGGTTAGCTGGGCTGTTGTGGGCCGGCAAGCATGAGTTTGTGTTTGGTTGCCTAGTTAGCTTTTGAGCTGGTAAGTTCACTCTCTTTGAAGTAGGTTTGCTCTGCGCACCAGCACCTCCATGACTGGACGTCGAGCGCGCCGGCGACCATTGCTCTCTATGAGCGCAAGGATGGGTCGCCGAGACTACCTCCAACTGCGCGTTCATCTCCAGCGAAGAGCTCGTGGCGCACTGTACCGATCCTCGATTTCCTTGAAGGGAAATCCACAGGCTCGAATCATAATGTGATAGTGCTAGAACATCACTCCATTATATTATCAGACAACAGCTGATATCATAAATTCATACATCGAATACCTGTCTTAGAAGTACAAATAGAGAGATTTAACATTTATTACATCACCACTTGGCTGAATCATCGGAGTTCACACAACATCCAAAACAGCATTAGACTGGAACAACTAAGGTGGGGAAGCAACTTCATCTTCTCCAAACTCGAGCGTAGGACGAACGCCTCTATCCTCCTTGTCATTCTCAACACCTGCTAAACAATTTTCAGTACGATTTGTACTGGCCACTGGCTCCCACCCTATGCTTTGCATTGCTTTGTAGTATGTGGAATGCAAGGATAGAGCATAAGAACCTATTTATGGCTGTAGTGTTCCTATGTGTAGTTCGTCAATATTTTATCAGTAATTCTCAAGTTTTATTCCATCTTTTCCACACATTCTCCCATCCTATCACACACATCTCACCACACTCTCACTCTCAGGCGACAAGAACAACTCCCGCTTGTGCTTGCCTCATCGGCCGACGCCGGAAGTCATCAAACCCAGGGAAAGAAGAAGAAATGACTCCTCTCTCTAGTCAAGTGAAACAGTAATATAGGGAAGGTCCATAGCTATGGGAAGACGACGTATGTATCGATCGATCAACCAAAACTCTATAAAGGTTTACAGTGCCCACAAGATACACCATTATCCGCAGTGTCGTGCCTAGGCTGATTCTAGTCTGCTTTCTAGCCTAGAACAATACCACCCTGCCACTCAGCCCTGAGGCACCCCAAAGTCCACCGTCACGCCGAGACTGTGAGACGTAGTACCGGGCCCTCCAAGGGTACCACAAATCTAGAGAGGTTAGGGTCCAAAACATTCTCACCTCCCACACTATCAACTACAACCTAGTAGTAGTGGCATCGCCCAAACTAGTCCACATACGTCTCCCCTCCAATGAAGAGTGAGTGGAGTGCAAGGATTCCTATGAACCAGTTCCTAGGGCGCATAAGTCATTAGGATGACCAAACAAGACATCTTCACAAAGGGGATCCTGACACCCCATGCTTCCAACATCACCACAACTCCAGGGATTCGTCCTACGAAGACACTCCACCCAAGAGTCTATACCTCAAAACAGTACCCGCCACAGATACAACTCTTAACGAGCGCTCAGGTCACACTCCGGCAAGACTTGCTCATCAGCTCATCATAGAATCCTGTTCGGTCGACTCAACCCTCACCACACACCCAAGACGCACGTGAAGATGCCCTCGGTTGTTATCACATTATTATCATATTATTGGCACCAAGTGCCTTAGCCACTCACAAACAATCCTCCACCAAGCATCACATCACAGACATAATGCGTAGTAGAAGTAAGTGGTAAGTAGTAAGAAAGCGTCTATCCAACCAGCGGGTGTGCATGGTAAAGGTTGCGTCAAGGTAATGGCTTTCAAGCAACTCTACCATGCAACCTATCATAGATCATTGCATAAAAGTAAAGCACTAGCAGCTACATGATAGCATGTCTAATAGGATTCTACGAGGTTAGGTGGGACGTGGCACCTGCAGACTAGTCGTCTCCCAACTCCTTCGTGTAGTTGGAGTCCTCCTCCTCAGGGTCTAACTCCTCTAGGACTGTTATACGAGACATATAGCCGTAATAAGAGACTCCTATAGATAGCCACAAAGAAATAATAGAAATTCAAAAGATCCAAAAGCACTCAAACATGGTCCTATGACGTAGAGCTTATTTTTAGGAAAATTTAGGAACTAGTTTCATGTTTTCTAAGGTCGGATGAATTTATTATGAATTCCCTAAGACTAATTTCTATTTCTGAAAAAGAACAAAAGATTAGATTTATCCTGGGCTTGACACATGGTAGCTTCTGATTGGTCGAGGCACGCACAGGCATTGACAGGTGGGGCCAGATCAACGATCAATGGTCAACATTGACTAGGCCTAGTGGGCCGGGTTGGGCCGGTCTGGGCTAGGCTGGCCCGAACACTTGTCACACAGGCAGGCAGGCCACGTGGCACTACTGGGCTCCTAGTGGGCCTCGGCTCATGGGGCTGGCTCACGGTGGATGGGCGCATGCGGGTCCATGGACCGCAGGCTTGGTCCATGGTGGACTTCGTCCACCTTCTCCTCTTCTCTCTTTGGCTCACAGCAGACCAGGCGCACGGGGTAGCATCCAGGCGAGGGTGTGCGCCACGTGGCTCACCGGCGAGCTCGCTCGGTGGCGCACTATGGTGACTCGGCGAGCTGGCTAAGGGGGTCTATGG